GGCAGGGTCCCAGTACAATTTTCCTGATAAACCATTGTCTGATGAGGTAGGTTACAGTACGTCTGAAAATAGGCTTTCCTATTCATTGAACATTTTAATTTACATAATCTGAATTATTTAAAATGTGAAGGCTGATTGTAAAGCCAGCTGAAGTAAAAAATATCTTGTGCATCCTCTTCAATCACATGATCACACACATATCACACACATATCACCCCGCCCACTCGCTTTGTTTGTTTGTTTTTTTGCTAACTTTTTTGTCTTGTGTGTCTCTAGATGATATATGCAAAATTGAATGTGAATCTGACAAGTGAATCTATCAACTCAAAATGGCTGACAGACTCGGCAAACACAGAATGTTCACCTAATATTAGTTTATGGTTGTCTTTTAGTTATTCCTATCTTATCTGCTTTAAATGAAAAAGTGGTAAGTCCTAGAAACACCAAATTTGGCAGGGTTGTCCTAAATTCCTCCCACTACTCAGGTGTGCTCAAACACACTCCCATTTAAACCTTGGTGGTGGTATCATAAACACTGATGTATTTTCCTCATATCTCCACAACTGGCTACAGGCTAGAATCAAATTCAGAACAAAACATATATCTTATCATATATATTTTATTGACCTCTATAAAATTAATTGGTTATCATTAGTGTATTGGCTGGTTGATGCAGAGAATGAAAATGAAGGCTGGACCTATACACAAGAAGTATACTTTAATGAAAGCAAATTCAAAATAACGCTTTTCAGAATATCAAATACAAAAACCACAGCAAACAGAACAACCACTTTGTAATGATGAGATCAGACTATAAACGGAACAAACACAGGGCTATATATACAAAGGCAGACTAATGAATGGAAAAGAGAAACAGGTGCATGTCGTCATCAAACAATGAGTAACCGAGGAAACAAATGCAAACTCAGGAAACAGATGTGGATACACTGAAAAACAAACTCAAAGACCAAATCAAACAAATACCAAACATCACAGTTAGTTTTCTTTAAAAGTCTTTCTTAAACGTAGTCTTTTCCGCTAGATGATTAAATGCATTGAAATAAATCTCAGGTTTATATAATCAGTTAGCTTTTATTTTTCCTCCCTCATATAAAGCTGTTTTGGCTTGATCTATTGAAGGACTAAAATAACAGCATTCCTTTTGTGTGGAGACTGAATGCTTGTCTTATTCTGTGTTGCAGGTTCAGACATGATGAAAGGCATTATTCCCAAGAGCAAAGCAAAAGGCACTGACTTCTGTGCAGAGGGCAAATACCATTATATAATTCGTTCTGATCTCGGCTGCTATATGCAGACAATTGATGTAAAAGAAGGTTTAGACATCTCTATTTTCAGTCTGCATCCTGCCTGCCAAAATGGAGACCATTACCTTGGTAGTGGAGACGGCTCCTTTTTCATCATCAAGGGCAAATCATTCCGCAGAGTCAACAACCTGACAAGAGACAGCGATGCTAAAGTTTACAGCCTTCATCCCAACTGCCAGGGTGGAGACCACTATTTTTCAACCTTTGGCTCTTGTTATTACATCATCTTCCAAGAAAAGGGCACTTATCGAATAACAACAGACTTGCATCAAGACACAAAAGGGGAAGAACACAAGCTGCATCCCAACTGCAGCAATGGTCTCTATTATTGGGGCATGCCAAACCGTTGCTTCTTCCTCAAGCCAGTCTCAGATTGGGGAGTTGAGTTCTGCGGCAGTAATGACATCAGCAAAGAGCAGTGCTTTGGTGTCTATTCTGTTCATCCCGATGTTCTTAACTTCCTTCCCGGTGGGTTGTCAGTAACTAAAGGCCCAGCATTTGGCATTTGGGAGAACATTAAAACTATAACTAATGACAGCACGACACCAGTGACATGGCAAAAGAGAATCAATAAAAAGGTTGGATATAATAAGGAGAAGATGTCCCAAATCACACACAACTGGAAGGTAGCCATGTCATCCTCGATTGAATCTGGAGACCTTTCAACGTTAATTGCGAAGTGTCAGTTCTCCTTTTCTGCAGAATATGGAGGTTCACACGTCAGCACTGAAACCGAAAGCTGGAACGAAGCAACTGAAGTGGAAGAACAACTCACACTTGAGCTGAAGCCAAATGAGTCTTTATATCTGTGGCAGTACAGACTGAGTCTCGGTCAAGAACCAGTGTTGTTCTGCCGTGATTTGAAGATTTCTAATAAACCAAACCCTCCAACTGAAGTCCCGCTGCCACCTGCACAATCATGAAAACATAACAGGATGGTTTAACTACAAGTATCACCAAGTGCTTCAGTTAAATATCTTAATTATAACTTCTCAAGTGATTATTTAGATATCTGCATGCATTGCTTAAAATTAGACTAAAACTGTTTAAAATAGATAGGAAAATTTTCAGTTCTAGTCAATGTAACCACAAATTACAACACTATTCTTTATGATATTATTGAAACTTGGTGTTTATTATTAAAAGAAACTGACAGAATCCTATTTTTAATCTCATGAAATTTCTTCTTAAAATCTCAACCCAATTGCAAATCTTTCAATATGGTTTTGGGAAATTTTTACTGTGGAAAAAAAATGGGTGCTTAGCATATATTATTGTACATGTGGTTATAGATGTTGTCATAGTGTATCCAAAGTCTACTAAAGTGTTTGATTCACAAGTCATAAAAAGCTCTGCATTCTGTACTCGTGCATCTGGGATGTAAATTTAAGATTTTTTTCCACATATTTTACTTTATAGCATATATCATTTGGATTTTGCTTATAATAAAGCAGCATACTGCTTTTAAAGTCTTGGTGTTTTCATTGCCATTCTTTTTCTTTATCAAAAAGCATTGTTGTGGTGTATGTTTGACAAATCTCCATTCCCAAATAGCACATTGTAATGGCAAATTTTAAGCAGCTCCCAACATACTTCGCCGACACTCTTTAAATTACTATCTAAATAAACTTAAGTTGTACCTTTTAAGGATGAGATGAGCAGGATGGAAAGACGTGAGCAAGGTAGGCAGGTAGCAGGCAGGCAGGGCAGGATGGATGGATCAAACAAACAATATTCCTAAATGGATTCCAGTAGTCCATACAAAGGTTAGAGCAGGGTTGAAAGGATACAAACTCAAGATCAAATTAATCAAATAAAATAGAAAAGCAAATAGCCTTAAAGAACTTATATGCCTAGTAGGTTGGTAAGGTGCTTCTTTGTTCTTTGTTCTCTGACAAAAAGGTGAGGCGGCCATCTTTAACTTCACTGCCTTCTCACGGTCTATCAAAATAAAAGTATCTACAAAAAAAAAAACCTTATATACCAAAATATATTTTAGTACTCTTATAACCTAAATAACAAATAAATAATGGCTCCAACACACATACATGTCTATTTGATGTGTGATGGTTTTTAAGAAATATGCAGAGGATGCCGTAAAACCAGAGATGCACGACCTGCAGGATTTTTCTGAAGAATAAGGAGCAGTTTAAGTGCTCAGGTCAAACTAGGGACATTTTTTAAAATTCAGTGATTTTGTCATGTGGACTACATGAAAACATCTGTTAACTCTTTCCCCGCCAGCATTTTTAAAAAAAGTTGCCAGCCACCGCCAGCGATTTTGATGATTTTCACTAAAATTTGATGACCTCCAGTATATTTTTCTGTATGAATATTTGAATATGCAATACACCAAAATAAATATCAGAGACTCTACCTTTAAACAAAAAAATCTGTTTTATTCTAGCTTAAAGCATTTTTTTTTTTATCAACACTTGAATATAGTTACACTGTAAACCCGATAAGTTCAGAATACTCAAAATTTTTGTGGACACTGATTACCTAATAAATTTTAAGTGAACCAACTCAAAATTTTTAAGTAAACAATATTTATAAATTACAATTAATCCAAACTTAAATGTTTCTCTTTAATTTTATTTAATATTTGAGTACACTATACTTAAAAGTACTGTTTACCCTAAGTAATGTTTTTAATTTATCCAGACTCAATTATTTTGATGCAAAAATACTTAATTTCATAGAAATTCTATAACACACACAAACACAAAAAACTGCATCAAACTGAAAGTGACATTGAAAAGAAAATAAAACAATATAATAAATTATAACAAAAAAAGGTATAGGTCATATATAAAAGACATAAAAAAAAGACATCAAGTCTATCCCATTGAAGACTTACAAAAACATCCAGAAATACTATAATTTATTATCATAAAGGCACATCTCAATTTTATCAACATTAACCCTAGCCCTTTTTCAACATTGACAATATTAAAACATCTTTCTTACAGGGATAGTTCACCAAAAATCTCACACTTCTGTTCTACACTGTTCTAAATCTGTATGAGTTTCTTTGTTCTGCTGAACACAAAATATATTTTGAAGAATGTTGGTAACATTTTATGGGTCCCCATTGACTTCTTCAATAGTATTATTTTTTTTCATAATATGGGATCTATGGGGAACCAAAATTGTTTGGTTAACAACATTCTTCAAAATATCTTTGTGTGTGTGTGTGTGTCACACAAGAAACTCGTACAGGTTTATGACAACTTGAGGGTGAATAAATGATGAAAATGTTTATTTTAGGTGAACTATCCTTTTAAGTAGACTGATTTCTGAAGGACCATGTGACACCAAAGACTGGAGTAATGATGCTGAAAATGTAGCTTTGATCACAAGAATAAATTACATTATAAAATAAATTAAAATATTTTTTTTTACTTTATTTTTGGTTATTTAAATGCAGCCTTGTTGAGCCTAAGATACTTTTTTTTTTCAAAAACATTAATACATTTTCAAAAAAACATTAATTGTAAGGTTTTCAAACTTTTCATTGGTACTGTATAGGTAAGTGGCAGCTGGAGTCTATTACATAATTACTAGAGCACTGCTAGAGTTTATACCAATAATAATAATAATAAACAATTAACAAAGAGGAACAATCTTGGATTTTAGCAGCCTGATACTAGCAGATATGTGTATGAACTGAATACTTACATTCCACGTCTTAAAGACCTGTGGGTCCTACTCACGCAAGTATACTGGGATTGCACGAAGGGCTAAAGTGCGCTTCATGTTGGCATCATGGAAATCCTTCAAAAACAAGTGAAAATTAGGCCAAGTAAGCCAACTTTATTTTATTTTGAATAAAATGACGAAAGAGACTGCTGTAGTTACTGCTGAAACAGCTTTACACAGCAGTCCATAGCAGAACCTTATTTGGACCAAGTTAATCTTTAACTTACCTGGAGTGAACATTGTTGCCTCTGAGAAAGGCTGTTTAAAGTCACACAAGCGACAAGAAAAAAACTGCATGTTCTGCTTGTGCTCCTTCACTTGCACCAGTTCTATGTGTGGCTTTGTGACTTCGTGATAAATGAATTTTCAGTGCATTAAATGACTGAAATGTTAAAATACAAGTGTCATATAAACAAGGCAAAGGGCTAATCCGTGAATAATTGCTGTGCTGTGAAGGTTAGTGACTAAATAACTCTGCCCTGGTGTCTGAGGAGACAGGACACAATTTGCATTTCCGCTCCATTTAAGTTAACATTACCTCGATTGTTGAGGCTGTTTGTTGAGGCTTTGTTCAGCAAGCATCAATCTCAGCAAGCAACCAGTTCACACTGCAAGTGAAGAAAATATTCATTTATTATATTTCCAGTATTTGTACATCAGTATTACAGTATTAGTATATTATAGTATTTTCAGTCAGTCAGATTTTAATATTTAACTGAATCGAATGTCTTGTTAACTTCCCGTCGGTGTAACGTTAGCGTTAATCATTGACATTAACTTACTGCTAGCCATTCACGTGCATGCAGGGGGAAAAAAAGCACATTTACCATATCAGGGCGTTTACCATAAACAACAGCAACACACTTTCAAAGCGTAAAAATGCAGTTAACGTTAACTGAAAAGAGTTCCCAGCTAACTTTAACATTATTGCCCTGCTTGCTTGACGTTAATATAACACGAAGCAGTGACGCTAAAATAGCATTCAAAAAAAGCGCGCTAGCACTAGGCGACTGCCGCGCTTCACGATGCTTCATAAAAACAGCGCATCCCAAAGATTCAACATTTTCTAACATAACAACATACCATACAAAAAACAACTTAGAAAACTTTGACACGTTTAGATTACTTACAAGTTATTCCATGCGTTGAATCCTGCCGCTCTCGAGTGTCCGCCATGTTGAATGGATTCCTCCAACGTCTATCAGAGCAATGTCACAACAACGTGACGTAGATGACGTAATTTACGCCGCGCAGTCAGTATACTTAAAAATATTCAGTGAAGTAGTGATGTTTACTCAAAAATAATGAGCCCCACAAAAAAGTATTTTCAGTCAGTCAGATTTTATTATTTAACTGAATCTAATGTCTTGTTAACTTCCCGTCGGTGTAACGTTAGCGTTAATCATTGACATTAACTTACTGCTAGCCATTCACGTGCATGCAGGGGGAAAAAAAGCACATTTACCATATCAGGGCGTTTACCATAAACAACAGCAACACACTTTCAAAGCGTAAAAATGCAGTTAACGTTAACTGAAAAGAGTTCCCAGCTAACTTTAACATTATTGCCCTGCTTGCTTGACGTTAATATAACACGAAGCAGTGACGCTAAAATAGCATTCAAAAAAAGCGCGCTAGCACTAGGCGACTGCTGTGCTTCACGATGCTTCATAAAAACAGCGCATCCCCAAGATTCAACATTTTCTAACATAACAACATAACATACAAAAAACATAACAAAAAACAACTTAGAAAACTTTGACACGTTTAGATTACTTACAAGTTATTCCATGCGTTGAATTCTGCCGCTCTCGAGTGTCCGCCATGTTGAATGGATTCCTCCAACGTCTATCAGAGTAACGTCACAACGACGTGACGTAGATGACGTAATTTACGCCGCGCAGTCAGTATACTTAAAAATATTCAGTGAAGTAGTGATGTTTACTCAAAAATAATGAGCCCCACAAAAATAAAAGTAAACTGCTCGTTCAGAAAATGTTATTGTTTAAAGTAGCATTAACTATTTCACATATTTTAATTGTATTGTACTCAAATTTTTAATGTCAGTAGTACTGTTCGGGTTTACAGTGTGGGTTTCATAAAAATGCATAATTTTGAGCAAAAAGGTGAGAAAATCACATTTTTATCAAAAACTACATCTGGATAATATTCAGTGCGATTATCAAAGCATAAATCCAGTAAATCGCTTCCATCAACCCCTCCAAAGCGTGCACAGACATATACCACTTCCTGGAACAACATTCACTCCGTAACATTATGCAGTTTTCATTTATATGCTGTCTATTGCTGATGATGGCATTATTTTTCATATGCATCTGTTTACATAAGAGATCACTCGTTTCTCCGTCCTGTTCACATGTGTTTTTTGTTCAGGAGGTTTTGTACTTGTTCAGAAGATGTGTAATAGCACCCCCGAGTGTATAACAGTGAAAACACGAAAAGCCATAAAAACTTGTCTTTGGCGGGGAAGCGCTTTATTCTAAAAGACGAGATAACTCGTCAATGGTGGGGAAAGAGTTAAGTGAAGTAGCTTAGTTGAGGCATGAAAAAAACATGCAGTTTTCATGATCCCTCTTATGTAGTTTAAAATATTTAAATTTTCAGATTCTGCAAGGTGTATGTAATCTTATGTTTAAACACAACTCTGTCTGTTTTTCTGTAGTGCTGTGTGTGCACAGGGCTGGAAATGGGGGGAGGGGGCCATATTTGTGTCTGGTTAGCTGCAAAAAGTTGCCTTTTGTGACTGGCCATAATACCTGCAGACTGCAGCCAATGGAAATACTTCTCTATTGGTTAAGGTTAGAGTGCTGGAGAGAATATGTAGAGATTAACTATTATAAATTATTATAAACTATTATAAATAGTTTTCAGTGCACTACTGTGGGAAGTTTGGATTAAAAATATTTATATGACAAACTTTTATATGATACTGCATGTTAAGGCCATATATGTCAAAAATATAATTTATATACATAAGTTTCTTTAAACAACATATTAACATTCTGTATGCTTATAGGATTTTCTTATTAATTTGAACAGCTTGAATTTTGAACAAGTCTACACAGTCTACATTTCATTTTAACGCATATCCCATTTCTAAATACTTCAGTCAGGTTTTATTCTTGGCTTGGTGACAGAGTTCTGACATTCCTATTGTCTTGTCTTTGTGTGATTGTTCGGTTTCGTTCACTCGGGTTGTGCGCTCCTCCATGTACGTGAGTTGCTCTGTGTGCGGAGCACTTCAATCTAGTTTGGTTTTGGTTTAGTGTCGAGCTTCAGACATTCATGCTCCATGTGTTTTTCTTCCATTGTGTGTGAATGGGATGAGCATTAGCTGGTAACACTTTAGAATACTGTTGCATCATTAATGAATAACTACAGAAGAACACACGAGTAATGCAATATAAGCACTCTAGTGCTTATATTGTGCTTTGGGGGTTTTGTAAAGTATTGGTTAGTAATTATTCAGGTGGTACTACATCCTTCTAAAGGAATTACTAATTTTTGGATCAGTATTCTAAAGTGAAGATCATGATAACTACCTAGTAATTACTGAAATCATTGTAAACTTTTGAGGTTCTTGTAAGATTCTGGTTAGTAATTCATTTTGCTAGATTTGGTAACACTTACATCACTAGTGGGTTACCGTGATCTTCACTTTAGAATACTGATCCAAATAATTAGTAATTTCTTCAGAAGGATGTAGTAACACTTAAGCCATTACTATCCAAAACCTTACATATATCTCAAAAGCTTAGAATGACTAGTGTCTGTTTTGAGTTTCGCATTATGAATGAATGAATGAATGAATGATGCATTTGTATAGCGCTTTATTGTGTATTGCTGTACACCCAAAGCGCTTTACAATCATATGGGGGGAGGTCTCTCCTCAACCACCACCAGTGTGCAGCATCCACCTGGATGAAAGGAGATGTATGGTGGAAAGGTGAGTATGTTTTGAGTCATGGAAGTAATTTAAGTGCCGGGGTAGCAGATCTTTTCTCCCCTAATATCAAAGTTAAAATTGAATTAATACATGAAGTTAGCCAGGAAGGCTTTTAATAGTTAATGCTGAAATCAGTTATTTTAAATTTTTTTTTGTGAATGTTTATGCTCCTAATGTTGGGTCAGAAAGATTAACCATAAATAACCATAAATCCCAATCAACTTCATTACTATAAGTACTGTGGGTCTCTTGTAAGAATGTAACACTCAAATCCTTCAAACTTATAATTTCTGAAAGTACCCCATTTTTCCTCCCATCTCTCATCCCTCATCCCATTAATATTAAGTGATCCCACCTGCAAGATCTCCATGGGAAGAAGCGAGAGAAAAAAAGAGCAGAAAAGAAAAGAAGGGAAAAAGAATGCCATCATGAAAGTTTAGTTCCCCTTCAGGAACTCGAGCTGCGTCAAAACGCTATGGGAATGCTTTCAGCGTGACCACGCTCTGAATCACGTGTGTAATCAGTCCAATGGATGGGCGAGACATCACAGCTTAAAAGCGGTGGATACAGAGGCAGCTTTCTGTCATTCAGCAAGCGCTCTGTGTGTGTGTCAGTCTCTATTCGTTTGTGAGTCTTATTTAGTGTTGTCTGTCCCTCACTATAAACCATGCCAAAGTTGAGTGATAAGCCAAAACACTTGAGCAGACAGCCTTTCAGGCTGTGTGTTCCTCCCTACCCGCGCTACATTACGGGTGGGGATACACACAGTCTGTGCATTGTCTGCTTGGGAGCGAAGCACGCAGAGTCAGCTTTCGAGGAAGCGTCTGCCGCTGCGTACGCTTCTCTCCCGGAAGGCTCTCTTTGAGGAGGGAGCTTTCACCAGCGTTCCTCGCGGTGCTGGCCCTTCTTTCGCTGAGGCAGAGTGGCGGCTGCACTCGTGGGGATCACAGATGGATCTGGTGGAGGGAATGGAGACGGGCGAGTCCCTTTCTTCTTCCTCACCCACCAGATCTAGCGCCCACTCTCTGGGATCGGAAGCCCGCTCTGCGGTTTCTTCCCCCTGGGGAGAGTGCTTGACGCTCTGTCTGTCTTCCTCCGAGGAGGTTGACGTGGAGGGCGTCGATGAGGACTCACCCCTTCAATCACCCCAGTATGAGGAGCTATTGGAGGTGGTTACTCGCACTGTGGCCAAGCTAAACATCGAATGGCCCGCTGAGAAACAGGCTGAACCACAGAAATGCAAGCTCGATGAACGCTTTCTGCTGAGTAAGCCGCCACCTCCATGCTGGAGAACTTCCTTTCCTCCCCGACCTCCTCACCGAGGTGTCAAGGTCGTGGGCGAGACCCTTCTCGGCCCATATCTTCAATCCCGCCTCCAGTCACTATGCCAACATGGCGGGGCTGAGTGATCACGGTTACAGGGCGATGCCCCGGGTTGAGCAGACGCTTGCGAGCTATCTGTCCCCGGGCGCGGCATTGTCCCTGAAGTCTCCGGCATTGCCCTCCAAGCCGCTGCGGGTAAACAGCGATGCCTTCGTGCCTTAGAAATGTGGAGGAAACCTTAGTTCTTGTCTCAGGACCCGGTGCTGGGAGCTCCTTGTCGCCGCGTAACGCTAGTGACAAATGCGTCTCTCACCAGTTGGGGAGCGGTCATGAGTGGCCGCTTGGCCCACGGTCTGTGGAGCAGTCGCCATCTCATGTGGCACATCAACTGCCTGGAGATGCTGGTCGTGTTTCTAGCATTAAAACACTTTCTCCCTAAGAGATTGCCAAATGGAGACGGGCGAGTCCCTTTCTTCTTCCTCACCCACCAGATCTAGCGCCCACTCTCTGGGATCGGAAGCCCGCTCTGCGGTTTCTTCCCCCTGGGGAGAGTGCTTGACGCTCTGTCTGTCTTCCTCCGAGGAGGTTGACGTGGAGGGCGTCGATGAGGACTCACCCCTTCAATCACCCCAGTATGAGGAGCTATTGGAGGTGGTTACTCGCACTGTGGCCAAGCTAAACATCGAATGGCCCGCTGAGAAACAGGCTGAACCACAGAAATGCAAGCTCGATGAACGCTTTCTGCTGAGTAAGCCGCCACCTCCATGCTGGAGAACTTCCTTTCCTCCCCGACCTCCTCACCGAGGTGTCAAGGTCGTGGGCGAGACCCTTCTCGGCCCATATCTTCAATCCCGCCTCCAGTCACTATGCCAACATGGCGGGGCTGAGTGATCACGGTTACAG